GCGGGAAAAGGGAGTTCAGGAGGAGATGCACTTATTTCGGATTCTTTCGTCTCTCTTTGTCCGTGTTTATCAGTCTTATGTTTGTGTGTGTTCACTGCACTGTTGTGGGTGTGTTTGGGCGGCTGCTTGTCATCACTGCTAAGCCATTGAAGTAATAACCGTTCATTCCTCCAGGGGGCGCTCGGTGGCTCATGGATGTTTTCAGTAATTAATTAAATAAATGTGACCACAAGACCAGTTTAACATAAAACTGGCTTTGTCTTTTTGAAAATAAAAGAAAAAAAAGCCAAATTTACATGGTATATGTGCAAAAAATAATAATTCGATGCCAAAACATCAGAAAAGATCAAGTTTCATGAAGATCTGTTGTAAATGTCCTATTGTTAATATATCAAAACTAGTTTTTGTGGTTGTGTTCATAACTGTAACATCATGACTTCATGTTAAAACAGTTATCATAACATTATTTATCAATATGTGGCTCTTTTTGGATTCTCAGGAGCTATAGAAATTAAAAATGTTAAACAGGAAATACCATGGGACCATTGTTTTTGTTTGCATCCCTCAAAATGGTCTATATTAAATTTTGGATTTCCACAAAAAAAAACTGGCTCTTATTATTGAAGGAAATGCAAAAAAAAAAAAAAAAAAAGTGTTGCAACTGTCCCCACTCTCCCCATACTGTCTGTAAATCTCTAAATAAATCAATGCACAAAAATTCCATAAAAAATATTAAATTTATTATGATTTTGTGGTTCAGGGTCACAAATGTAAGATATGACTAAGGGCAGACAGAATCTGCGTACATTTGTTGCTATTTCTGCATTGAATTTTGTAAAATAAATAAATAAATAAATAAATAAAAGTCTGTGTATTTATGCGGAGTCATTTTAAGAGTATTATAACTAAAAACTTAACAAATGAAATGAAAAAACAATACATTTTTAACTTATAATAATGTTTACAATACAAATCCAATTAGATTCACTTAATTGGTAAACAAAGCAAGTATATGCATCACATAAAATGTCTACTAAAATTGAACATTGAACAAGAAAAATGAACATTTTAATATTACAGTACTACTATTATAGGCTATCACAATGATATTAGTGAAATTAATTTAAAAACTGGATAATTTAGCCATAAGGAAATAAATAGACTCAACGATGGGCTCAAAGTCTGCGGAATTCTATAACCAAAAAATGACGCTGAAAATCTTTGATGGACTCTTTATTTAAAACAAATATCGCAGTTGACCAATCAGAGACAAGTTCCTGACTTCTACGCCCCGCCCTTCGTACTCGAGTTTTTGCCATTCTCTCTGATTTATTCTGTTTATATGACGTAAGTACAGTAATCTCTCTTTATCCCCACGTGTTTTACCAGCAGGTAAATATTGACATCATTCCCTTCTTTTCCATAAATAGAACTAAACAGGTGCCACAAAAACCCAGCTAAATTGTATTTCTCGTTATGTTGTATCCGTGAAGTTTGATATCCATTTATGAAATGTAGCCTAAACAGTTATTATTAAGGGTCAACATCAGAAAGTCTGAATAGGACTAAACAGGTGCCAAAAACCTTTTTAATTTTATGTTATATTCGTAAAGTTTGATATTAATTTCCATTTATAACATCCATACAGTTATGATAAAGTGCCAGTATTAGAATGTCTGAACTTGTTTAATGGCAACAAAGTGATGCAACACAAGTCTTAAAATAACTTGCAACACAAAAACATCCAGCATGTGCTTATAGTGCCACTTGACCTGATATAAACTTTTAATAACATAACACAGACAGATAATCTCTGCTGATAATCTCTACGGCTAATTTTGTTTACCCAATTCCCCTATAGCGCATGTGTTTGGACTGTTGGGGAAACCTGAGCACCCAGAGGAAACCCACGCCAACATGGGGAGAACATGCAAACTCCACAGAGAAATGCCAACTGACCCAGTCGGGATTCGAACCAGTGGCCGTCTTACTGTGAGGTGATACAGTGATAACCACTGAGCCACCGTGCCACCGACGGTAAAAAAAAAAGCATTAAGTATTGTACATTTATTTTTTATAAATACAGGAAATAAAAATAAAAGCTAATTGAAATATTAGATTTTTAAAAAAATATTAAACTAAAACACCTCATTTACAGAAAACAAACAAAAAACATGGATTTGTTATTATGGGGTATATGCCGAAGCATGATAGTACTTTTAATTTGCCAGTAACCTGGTTTAAGCGCTTCCGGCTAATTAAATGTCAATGCAAAATCCGGTGCGTTTAAGGTCTGTTTTCTTTAAAAATCAGCGATCTCCACTAGCTGAGTGATGTCCGATTTAAAGTGGGTCTCAGATTGTACAAGAAGCACTGCATTAAATTACATTTTCCCCCGCCATATCTTTATAATATGAGCATTTATTTTACCCCAGTATATTTAATGGAGCTTCTGCGTTAGCCTGCCGATTCTGACGAGCGCGTGCGAGTAAACAGCTTTTTGTCTCGTTTTACGCTTGAGCAACCAAATAAATGCTAAAGTTTATTTAACTGAATGTATTTTAATGACATTACAACATCGATGCTGTATAAGGACCCGTATAAAATGGAAAAAAGTTCACAATAACAGGTCACCGGAAGTGTATCAGCATGAGAACAGCACTAGCTCGGCATATACCCCATTACCTTTAAGCTAACAGATTTAATTGTTTTGGATGTTTAACACATCGTCACCAGGGGGAGACAAAGTCTTGTGGACACGTCAGGATGGACTCGGTGGAAATTTCATCTCGAATGTGTTTTGTTTTATACCTTGACCACAGCAAACTAAGAATATTCAGCACACAGTGTCCACTAAACTGTTAATTTGGTACATTTTATGCAACGCTTGGGGTTTAAATGGATAGTACGGAGAGTAATGCAAATTTACTCACTATCTACTCTCCCTCAAGTGACTTCAATCCTTTGAGTTTCTCTAATCAGTTGAGCACAAAAGAAGATATTTTGAAGAAAGCTAAAAACCTGTAACCATTGACTTCCATAGTAGAAAAAACAAATATTATAAAAGTAAATAGCTACAGGTTTCCAACATTTTTCTAAGTATCTTATTTTCTGTTTGACAGGGATGGCACGGTGGCTCAGCGGTTCCATCAAAGCAATTAGGTCGCTGGTGCAAGTCCTGGTTGGGTCGGTTGGTGTTTCTGTGTTTTGCATGTTCTCCCCATGTTGGCGTGGGTTTCTTCTGGGTGCTCCGGTTTCCCCCACAGACCAAACACATGCGCTATAGGTGAATTAAATAAACTAAATTGGCCTTAGTATGTGAGTGTGCGTGTGAATGAGTGTGCATGTGTAACCCCGCCGGCTCTACACCAACTATCCCGCTCCGAGCTGGTATCGAGCCGGCGACCTTCGGCATGGGAGTCGGTTGCTCTAACAAGGAGGCTAAAAACCATGGCCTCTAGCATCTGTCGCTAGAGCACCTGTAGAGGTCAGAGGAGTGAGGTACCTGCACTTAACAGCTGGCCTCCATTACACATGTATGTTTCCTAGTACTGGGTTGCAGCTGGAAGGGCATCCGCTGTGTAAAACATATGCTGGATAAGTTGGCGGTTCATTCCGCTGTGGCAACCCCTGATGAAATTCCAGGTGTTCTTTTGATCCAGCACAGTAGACATGTTCTGCCGGAGTGTGTGTGTGCAGATGTAGACGTGCTGCTGGAGCGTGTCGCACACTCATGTTTTCAGGACAGGCAGTGCTGAAGCTGCTATCCTGTAACGCCGCTGGATAACAGGAGGCCCATGACACCTAAATATAGCACAGAAAACACATCTCCAAATACACCGGCTCTCTGACATGGAGATTCATTCCAGTGGCGGAGAGATGGAAATAAAATCAGGGGAAATGGATGCTTATCATTTCTTTATTTTTTACTTGGCACACTCAAAAAATTATGTTTGCTGTTTACAGTGGTGTAAAGTAACTAATTACAAATACTCAGATTACTATAATTAGTTCTCAGGAATTGTAGTTTACAGAGTAGTTTTAAAAATGTGCTCTTTTACTCTCACTTGAGTACATGTTTAGTGCTGTATCGGTACTTTTACTCCGCTACTTTCCCTTAGTCTGCAGTCACAACTTTATTTTTTCTTGTCTATGGGGATTAGAAAGCTCAGTCCTGTGATTCCTGTCCAATCAAATCACACACAGAAGGTAAATCACATCATAATGAACTACTTCAAGACATGGGCGATTTATAAATGCAGCAAACTGTTTGGAAGCATTAAAAGTGTCCAAGAAGATGTCCAAAACCTTTACACGCACTGACCCAGAGACTGTTTACATGCAGGTCACTGATGAGAAGATGACGGATGTTTACTGTATGGGGACCGAAATGGCCTTAAACACCCAGCAAGCACAAGACATCAACATGACGTCAGATTGACGTTGTACCCCAATGTCGTGGGGACGTTGCATTTTGTTTGGTATTTACTATGATCTTCTAAAGCTGCTTTGAAGCAATTTACATTGTAAAAGCGCTATACAAATAAGTGTGAATTAAATTGAAATGAAAATCGGGTTGACGTCAGAACTCAATGTTAGACCAACGTCAATGTCCAACCGAAAACCAACCAAATATCAACGTCTAATGATGTCACAGCTTGAAGTTGTGTGAACGTTACCACTATGACGTCTATCAGATGTTGAATTTTGTTGTTATTAGACGTCAAAATAACGTTGTCCTTAGACGCTGGCTAGACATAAAATTTTGGTCTCATCACAACCTAAATCTAACCCAATATTAACGTCCCATGACGTTGTGTGACTGCTGGGTAATAACTACATGCATGTCACACCTGTTGCAGTACCCTAGTTTGGACACTTGAGGGCACTAGTTTGTTTTGTAGTTTCACTTCATTTCCCATAATCCTTTGTATTACTGATTGTGTTATGTTACAGCTGTTTTGTGTTTGTTAATTTAGTCCTGTCTTTATAAACCCTCTTGTCCTCTGTTTTAGTTGCCTTAGGATTTTGTTAGTTCCTCACGTCTGGTATGT